TTTACATAACAACTTGAGGAAGGATCACCACCTGAAACACCAGGCTCGACTACAATACGGTTTATTCCTTAAGGTTGGTATTAACTATAATATCCGCCTTCTGGGTCAATCTGACGTGTTTGAAGGTTCTCGGCCTCTCGATTGAGGAAGCAATTGCTTTTTGGAGAAAGGCGTTTTCTGCCAAGGTCACCGATGAGAAGTTCACAAAAGAGTACTTATATAATATCAAACACAGCTATGGCTTGGTTGGAAAGATGGCAAACTATCCCGCGAGAAGGTAAATCCACTGCCATGAAATTGAGCAAAAGACTGAAGCATGACAAGTTGCCAAACCATTTTGACCACATTCACACCTGGTGTCACAGAATCTCACGGTTGTCCATATCGTCATTTCTCTGAGGATAATCTCAGGATAGCCTTACAGAGTACGATGGGGATTTCCAGTCATGACTTACAGGACGTCATGAACTCCGTCAAGTCGGAGCATTATCATGTAGCATGCACACGTGTCTATGAGTTGACTCATGGTATTAAGCGTGGAGAAGGGATCGGAGGTGGAGAAAGTGTCACCCATCCTAACGGATATGCCCAACGAAGTCGCGAGCTGGAGAAGGCCAGAACAGAGGCAGCTACGAATGAAGATGCCATGAAGATAGATTAAAATATTGTGTAAATTTTAATGCATGCATGCAACTAATCTACGTTACGGACCTGACTTTCCTCAATTATCTGAATTGCGGAGTTTGTAAACAATGGACGCGTCCTTAACAGACCTCTCGCGTCGGAGATATCTGTCCGCCAACAAACCAACATTCAAGAACAAAAGCTACGCGTGAACCTTTGGCGATGAATTCGATAGACGCGAAGTTGGTCGGACAACGGCTGACAGGATTGATAAACCGATTTCTGGATGCAGATCTACTCATTACTGCTTTATTTTTTGCGGAAAGACTGTTTGCAATGGATGGTACCAATCATGACAGTCGCCATCTCCTCGCAAATGTTGTGCTAAAACTAGATCAACCTCACTCGGCACTCCATCTGGTGACCCGCCCACAAGACGAACCTTGCTCAGGATGTTTATTCCTGTCAGCTAAATGCAATGAGAAGCTAATGAGGCCAAGAAAAGCGAAGGAGCTTATGACAGAGGCTTTGAAGGTTGTAACCGGTGCTACGAACAACCAGCCACAGTGTGAGTGCACCTTGAAAGGTCGAAATCAGGACACCAGATAGCTGACAGAAACATTTCTATCATTCTGGTGTTTAGTATCACGGGCATCTCGCTTCACACAAGACATTCCCGACCTTGCAATAATGTATTGTAAGGCTGGGCTGCTAGCCGCGAAAGCTTCACAAAAACAGGAAGCAATAGATAATTTTCATCATTCTCTTACGCTTGAGCCGCTTCTGTGGGAAGCATGGATAGGGTTATGTAGTTTAGGTATGCCACTATTCCTCCTGCTTGCCCTCAATCTTCAGTGAGACTAATAATGAGCTTTTAGGCGCAACCGTGGACCTAGATGAAGTACTAAAGCCACCACCTCATCTACAAGGGGTACCTTCTGCGTTCTCGGACGTAGGAGAATTGCCTTCTCTGCCGGCGTTAGCCCATCCAATCGTTGCCAGACTATCAAAACAATATGCAATGACCCCTACACCGATACCAAAGGGCCCAAGCGGAACTGGAATGGGTTTCTTTACGCCAGAACATGGCCTCGCCCATGCCACTCCTCTGAAATTTCAGTTACCTGCCCCTCAAAAGTCTAGTGATTTTTTCAACCAGACCTTTGATTCCAGCATAAAGTAAGAGGAATGACTTTAGCAGGCTCGG